CAACACTGTCCCCAATCTTAATGGTGGAGCATCCACCCCAACCAACGGATCATTGCTCGATCGCCCGTTTGGTACGTCGTCCATGGCTCATCGATAAGCGTACGAACTGTTGCAAACTCTCACGTCAAAGTACTCATGTGTCCCACCAAGAAAAGATGAAGAACGAGTCGTTTGTAAGCTAACATTTTGAGTAGGATCATCTAACAGATAACTACTCCTTTGACATAAGCAGACAAAGAACTCGAATTGTACTGGATGCGCAGTGAGGCCCCCTCACAGTGAGGGCCTCCTTGGCTGGAAGGACAGTCGAGTGATAGTGGACCAAACCAACCACGAGCATGAGAATGTATCTCGTGCATCCACAAGCATCCCGTCGAGAGATAACGGCCAAACCAACCACTTTTGTGGTGCATTCGGTGCACCTGAGGTAAAAGACTACTCCCTCCGTCCTATAATATAAGAGCATTTTTGACACTATACTAATGTCAAAAACATTCTTATATTATGGGATAGAGGGAGTAGCATTTAAAAGTTTTGAACATCTGGATACGAATGAGCACCGAGATACAACATACTATACTATGTATTTACAATGTGACACAATTTAAATTTGAACCCAACCCATAACTTGAGGCGTGGAAATGGCAACTCAAGTCATAAATGCATGGTACCTATTCCAAAGTGGGATGTGAATTGCAATATTAGAGTTGAATGTATTGTTCTTGTTTCTCGAGCTGTTTCAAAATTTGATTTTAATTTTGTGATATTTCTGAGTTTATATTGGACCGACTGCACATGTGTATGTGTGAGAATAGGGGTTAACTTGTTGAATCAGCCGAATGCGCAGGCGTATCTACCGTGGATTGAGGACGATTGATCATAGGGATGGACACAAACTGGCTCATCTGACTATTATCATTAGTTTTACCTAAATGACGATTTTTATAGTTCGAGGACATATGGGACACCTCCGAAATAGTTCGAGGACTTATAATGCACTCCACTCGAAAAACATCGGCTAGATGAAAACATAGCAAGCACAAATTCTCATTAGCCACTGCCACCGTTGAATAATATGAGGTATGTACCGTTAATCTCGTCTATAAATCCTTGACATGTTATCAGATCACAAGTAGTGCTAAACATTGGAAGGATTATTAGTGTAGGCTTGGATCATTTCATCTGTTATTCAATGAAAAGAATAATGTATAATATGGACATAAATAGATAACAAAGATCTTCACGAATTATCCCCATGACCTATGAAATCATGAATTTTTGTAAGACAAAATAATTTGTGTCATATTGCATTTTTTGTCGATCATTCGAAAAAACTTCTAATTACTTGCATGCCTTAAGTGCAAATAATTTGTACTTTAACTATCACATGGACTTCACCCGCAAAAAAAAAACATATCCCGTGGACTTAAATGTTTACATTGAACAATATTGTTGCACTTTCAAGTACCCGCCATGAAACATTCTGGACCGCACATTGAGCACGCCGTACATAGTAGTTTCTCTTTTGAGCCGTCGCATGTCGTAGGTTACTAATTGGCTATATACTTGAATTATTGTTCTCCTTAGTTGGCATTTGTATAGTACTTTTTTGCATGTAGTTGGCAGTTGTATATGGTGACCACTTTGATGCTCTTAGACGATTTGAATGTATTTATAAAGAAGATGATGCGTCACAGCCGTACAGTCTAGACTGATTGTTGGTTGAAGATTATAATCATGGTAATCTCGCTTAATTGTGCTCCACATGATCGCTTGACTCAAAGTTCACGTGATTTCTATTTCGAAACTGGCGAGCAAATACTAGCTCTCGATCGACATGAGCCAATCCCTCTACTCCATGTGTTGCTAGCATTCAACATATTGTGTGTATGGCACTACGTACATACGTACGTACTCCAAAGATAATTATCTAATGTCTGGTTAAACTATACTACATACTTAGCCTATCGATGGAACCGCGTAGCCAATTCCTCAACTCCACTTGTTGAGCCAATGTCCAACGGCTGGTTAAATTATAAGCACGTACTACGTATACATGCGCCCCTGGTCATCTTAAAATAGATTAGCTAGTTTTGACGTTGAGGTGGCCAATCAGTAGCTCACAGATGGCTCCGGGCCAGCCACAAGCTTAGCTCCGGCCTATTCCTCGGCCGCAATGATCAACCACACCTCGAATGTTACCAAATGGAGAATTGCCCGGTAGTAGCCGGCCCAGTAGCTAGCCATCAACCTCGTCGCGGTCGACCTGATCGTGACCATCTAAAGCTAAACCACTGATTAACTACTGCAAGATAACATCAGCAGCACGCGCGCATGCTTCGTTAAGCGCGTTCATTGGCTGCTCCCGTTGATTAACTGGGCGATCACCGTGTCGTTAGCGCTTGCACCGATGGAATGTTATCGGTATGGAATTGATTTCTGCCGCCCGTCCACATGAACCCGAGCGATCGATCGCTGTCTGAGACGCACTAGGGTAGAGTGCTAGCACACCCAAGGCTTCGCCTCCTGCCGCGTGTCGAGCCCAGGCCCTGACTTCGTGGTGGCGTGCGTGGAGATATGCTCCATTAGTGAACTGTGAATAGTTTTATGTCGACGGGTAGCGCGTCAACGTTTCCTGCGTAATCGCTTGAGGGCTAGATAACCTTGAAAAGCATACTGTTACTGTGATGGAGCATGCGAGCTAAATCTGGCGTTATTGACGGAAGAAAATCATTACTCCTACTCCACTTCTCCCAGTGAAAACTGCCACATTAGATTGCAAAGTCAATATAAAAATCAGGCTGTGTGTAAGTCGCCTAAAAATTTATTTTGGGTAAGTTGATTTTTGGGCCATTGGATTAAAGATCCAACGGCCGTCCTTTCTTCTTCTTCCTTCAGCCTTCTTCCTGTTTCAACCATTCCCCCTCTCACAAAATTGATTTATCTAAATGGTAAATTCAGTCGACATAGCATTATTGGTAGACAAATCCTCATACCATATTTATTTATTAGAGCCACCATTCTCACGCTGTTGAGACTTGAGAGTAACATCGGTCTTGCGTGCAGGCATTTGTTAATATATTTTTGTTCCAAGCAATCGATGAGCAGCGATGACAAAAGAAACAAAATAGTAGTACTTATTAATTAATGCCGGAAGAGGTCGTTAAGCAGCAGCCCATGTCACCCCTGTCCCTACGCACGTCAGATCAACATGGCTTTGCCTTTTCTGCGAGGTGCACAGTTTCTCCGGCCGGTCCACCATGGAGCGCGACCTGTATATAAGTACGGCCTACCAGACTCCATTCTCAGAACCAACCAACAGGGCGACCCAGCTCAATTATCTCATCCAGCCCGACTACTCAGCTACCGCCTCCCCAGTCTCCAGCTCCTCCAACCTTGCTCGATCCTTGATCGATACCTCTACATGGCGAAGGTTCACCCTAACATGGTGCCCGCGCCGGGCGCCGTCGACCAGGCGCCGTGCGCGCCGGCCAGCTCCACTGAGGAGCCGACGACGCTGACGGTGTGGCGCAAGTCGCTGCTGTTCGACTGCAAGGGGTTCACGGTGTTCGACGCCAAGGGCAACCTGGCCTACCGCGTCGACAGCTACGCCTCCGAGAGCGGTGACGAGGTCGTCCTCATGGACGCCGCCGGCCGCCCCGCCTTCACCGTCCGCCGCAAGCGGTTCACCCTGCAGGGCGAGCAGTGGCTCGTCTTCTCCGGCGAGGAGACGCGGAAGCCCGTGTACACAGTCAGGCGCAGCGGCCGCGGCAAGACGTCGGCCCACGTGACGGCGTGCGCGGGCGCCGGAGCCGGGCCGTCGTACGAGGTAGAAGGGTCGTACGCGCGGCGGAGCTGCGTGGTGTACGACGGCGAGCGGCGCGCGGTGGCGGAGATCAGGCCCAAGGAGGTGGTCGGCACAGACGTTTTCCGGCTGGTCGTGCAGCCCGGAGTCGGCGTGTCGCTGGCCATGGCCGTGGTGGTGGCGCTCGAGCAGATGTTCGCCAGGCCGTCGCTGCTCAGGAGCTGGTCCACCATAGATTAGTGAATTTATTTGTTACATCTCGATTTAGTCAAGCTAGTCTTTTTTTACCCCTTGCACTACGTTTGGGGTTGGGTTGGAGGATGAATTGTGATAGCGAGAGTCATTCGCTCGATGTGTGCGGGCATGAGAGCAAGTCGATCTGTTCGATGATGCCCCCCAAATTATGAGGTTTTTCTTGGCCCATGGAAGCCTTGCCTCCTCCTACTGCGTTTCTGTCGGTGTGTATATTCTTTGAATTCTTGAAGAAGGGTGTAGATGTAGATAGTCAACAAGAATATGAATAATAATAAACAGTTCTTTTGTATACGGTTGTCAACTCGCCAGCCTCGATCGAGACAACATTTTCTTGTATATAGTGTTTCTTGATCTTCTTTCAAACGTACGTACAATTCGTATTTTGTGGATGCCAAGTTTCTTGTATATTTTCAAATGTACGTTCGTCTGGTTTGATTCCGATTCAAGGTGCAATTTTCTTTTGCATAAAACATCACTCAGATAGAAATATTTGTTTAACAAGGACATCAAACAAGATTAGCTCAGTTGGCTATTGGGTTCAATTCTCTTGAGAAGCACATGACTACAAAATTTTAGCCTGAAAAACCATCAAGACAAGACCTCTTGGTCCGGCGAGACCTCCATCACGTTATGTGGTGGACTCTACCCTGGAACACCACTACCTCCCTTGTAGCAACATGGCTGGAAGGAATAAACATGGCCACCTTTACACCAGAAAGAGCTATGACTCCCTTTCAAAGAAAAGAAAAAGAAAGAAAGAGCAACGATTCATTGAAGAAGGCCAACAGCTGATAGGTGGTGCAACCCTTTCAGATCCACCACCGATGAAGCTCACAACCCCACCCGATGTGCATCATCTCCTGGTCTTAGCCGCTTCTTCTCCATCTTGAGCATGTAAGCAGCGGTTGAAGATGTGACGCCCGGATAATCAAGCTACAGTAACTCTCTACTAATGAAGCCACGTCGCCATGATTACGGTTGTTAAACTCGCGATGATTCAAACCCACTCAATGTTCAAAATGAAAATGGAGTCAAATGGTAAAAGTTTTCAAATGTTGAAGCTAAAATGTTCAAAGTGTGGCAAATGATCACCGGATATTTTCCATAATGAAACCTTTTCTTTAAGTATCTAATTGCCCAAAAACAATTAAACAGGGCCATGATAATAATTTAAATGCTTTTCTAAATAATTAAAATTTCCAAAACTTTCCATTTACCTCTCAAACTTTTTGTGGGAGTGCTATATATTGCAATGGTAATAACATGACCAGTTGGATATTTTACAAAAGCCAAATAGTGGCTAAAGAAAATACAAGACAGAAGAAAAGGCGAAAACAGAAAAGAAAACGAATAAAATCTAAATTGCCATGTGCACTTGGGCCTACTAGCATCAGTGACAGCACAGCCCACCAAGCCGCCATCTCCAACCTCTGTTCACAGAGGGCGTCGTGGACGCACGCGTCGCGTCCATGGCCATGGATGGCCACACGACGTCCATCCCGTGCCTCCCCTGGTGGACAAGGCCACCCCAAACCCTAGCTCATCTACCCCCCTCGCTCACTCCCTCTCCCTTGTCTGATCCAGCCACACCCACGAGCCACCATCGCCGTGCCGCCATCGCTGTCGCGGCTATCGACCTCCCGCTCGCCTAAAAATTTGTCTGGAAGGACCGCCGTCGACCACTGCGTCTTCCTTGGTACTTCGTTCATCAGGAACACAACCACAATGATGGCATCGACCGGGTCCCCCAACCTCGGTTGCCGCCATCTCGCCGCCGTCCCGCAAGCTCCGGCCGTCCCCAACCCACTCGAGCTCGTCCACGACCACCCCGTAGTGAGCCCTCCTCTGATTCCCCCTTTCCCCCCTCGTTTCAGTCGCCGTAGTCGCCCGTACTTGCTGAGGCCGCCGTGCTTGGAGCTCCGCCTCCGAGCTCCGCTCGTTGTACCCCTGGTCGCGCTCACCGCGTCTCTGTCATGCCCCGCCTCACGCTCACGCGCCCGCGCATGGCCATGCAGCTGCTGGTGTGCACACGCGCGCTCAATCCCCTGCCCGCGCCCACGCCCCACTGCCCGCTACGTTCGCGCGCCTCCTCCCCTGTCTGCTGCTCGCGCTGCCCTGTTTCTCGCGCTGCTACAGCCGCCGGCGACCGCTCCGCCTGCGCGCACGCGCCGGCCGCACCCTGTCCTGGGCCCGCGCCTCCCACGCTTGCCACCGCCGCCAGCAGCTTCTTCCCATCCCCACACGTGAGCTCGGCCACCGCCGCTTGCTCGCACGGCCGCTTCTCTGCAGCCGTCGCGGTCGTGCTCGCCGCCGTCGATTTTGGCCGCCCCGGCACAAACCGCGGGCACCAACCATCTCTCCTCGCCGCGGGCTTTCGAACGACCCTAACCGCGCGTCCGGCACCGCCGCCCCGCGCGCCCGCGGCTTCGGTCCCCTCCGCCTCCACCCGTCACCAGCGTCGTTCCCGGCCACCCCCATTGAGGGAGTCCTGGATTAGGGGGTCTTCGGACAGCCGGACTATCTCCATTGGCCGGACTGTTAGACTATGAAGATACAAGATTGAAGACTTCGTCTCGTGTCCGAATGGGACTCTACTTGGCGTGGAAGGCAAGCTAGGCAATACGTATATGGATATCTCCTCCTTTGTAACCGACCTTGTGTAACCCTAACCCTCTCCGGTGTCTATATAAACCAAAGGGTTTTAGTCCGTAGGACAACAATCACAACATACAATCATACTATAGGCTAGCTTCTAGGGTTTAGCCTCTTTGATCTCGTGGTAGATCTACTCTTGTAACACCCATATCATCAATATTAATCAAGCAGGACGTAGGGTTTTACCTCCATCAAGAGGGCCCGAACCTTGGTAAAACTTTGTGTCCCTTGCCTCCTGTTACCATCCGGCCTAGACGCACAGTTCGGGACCCCCTACCCGAGATCCGCCGGTTTTGACACCGACATTGGTGCTTTCATTGAGAGTTCCTCTGTGTCGTCGCCGTTGGGATCGATGGCTCCTACTATCATCGATAGCGATGCGGTCCAGGGTGAGACTTTTCTCCCCGGACAGATCTTCGTATTCGGCGGCTTTGCACTGCGGCCCAATTCGCTTGGCCATCTGGAGTAGATTGAAAGCTATGCCCCTGGCCATCAGGTCAGATTTGGAAGTTTGAACTACACGACCGACATCCGCGGAGACTTGATCTTCGACGGATTTGAGCCGCAGCCGGGCGCGCCCCACTGTCATGATGGGTATGACCTAGCTCTACCGCCGAACAGTACCCCAGAAGTCATGCCCGCATCAGCTCCGACCCTTAGTTCGGAGCCAACTGCGCCAATCGAGGATGGGTGGTTAGACACCACCTCAGGGGTTGCAGTCTCAACGGCGATCGAGCCGAACACCAGCACAAATCTCCGTGCAGCCCGTGACTCCAAGGTGCTGGACTCTCTTCCGGAAACCGAACCATCCGTGCCCCTGCCAATCGAATCTGATTGGGCACCGATCATGGAATTCACCGCCGCGGATATCTTTCAGCACTCGCCCTTCGGCGACATTCTGAATTCACTAAGGTCTCTCTCTTTGTCAGGAGAGCCCTGGCCGGATTATGGCCAACAGGATTGTGATGCGGACGACGAAGAAATTCGACGCCCACCCACCACCCACTTTGTAGCCACTGTCGATGATTTAACCGACATGCTCGACTTCGACTCTGAAGACATCGACGGTATGGACGACGATGTAGGAGACGAACATGAACCAACACCTATAGGGCACTGGAAAGCCACCTCGTCGTATGACATATACATGGTGGATACACCCAATAAAGGCAACGGCGACGAGATAGCGGAGGATGACCCCTCCAAGAAGCAACCCAAGCTCCGAAATCAGCGGCGCCGCTCCAAGTCCCGCCAAAGCAAAAGTGGTGATACCGACATAGGAGATAATAACACTCCAGATAGTGTCGAAGACAACAAAAATCCCCTCCAGCAAGATTTAGAGCAGGAGGATGAAGGAGCCAGCTCTCCTGAGAGAGCGGCTAGCGGAGAGGAGGATGACAATTACATGCCCCCCTCCAAAGACGAGGCAAGCCTCGGCGACGATGAATTCGCCGTACCAAAGGATCCCGTCGAACAAGAGCGCTTCAAGCACAGGCTTATGGCCACGGCAAATAGCCTGAAGAAAAAGCAGTAGCAGCTTCAAGCTGATCAAGATTTGCTAGCTGACAAATGGACTGAAGTCCTCACGGCCGAGGAATATAAACTCGAGCGTCCCTCCAAGAGTTACCCAAGGCGCAGGTTACTACCCCGACTAGAGGAAGAAGCATATGATACAGCTGATCGGCCACCTCGTGGCCAAGATAGAGAGGCATTCCAGCCAAAAGCTCAGCCTCCACCCCAACGCCATCCAAATAAAAAGGCATGGGGAGATACGCCAAACCTGCGAGACATATTGTAGGACAAAGCAAAGCATTCAAGATCGATCTACGGATCACGAGGGCGCACCACTCTACGAGATGGTAAACGTCACGCCAGATACAGTAAAAGTAAATCCGGCCAGGCCGAACACAGCGGGCAGGACTCATACGAGCTGTGTCGCGATATAGCCCAATACAGAGGCGCCGCCCACCCCTTATGCTTCACAGACGAAGTAATGGAATATCAATTCCCAGAAGGTTTCAAACCTGTAAACATTGAATCATACGACGGCACAACAGATCCCGCAGTATGGATTGAGGACTTCCTCCTCCATATCCACATGGCCCGCGGTGATGACTTACATGCCATCAAGTACCTCCCACTAAAACTCAAAGGACCAGCGCGGCATTGGCTTAATAGCTTGCCAGCGGACTCCATTAGCTGTTGGGAAGATCTGGAAGCCGCATTCCTCGACAACTTTCAGGGCACTTATGTGCGACCACCAGACGCCGATGACTTGAGCCACATAATTCAGCAGCCAGACGAGTCGGCCAGGCAATTCTGGACTCGGT